CTGCCCTGGGCAGGGGGTCAGACTTGACAATCTAATAGGTGCCTTCTGAAACTCAGAAACACTACTCACTCCAAGAAAACTGCCAGCTCAATATCCTGCCGTGGCACTGGCTGGGTTGGAGGGACCCTGCTGGACTTAAGTGCAGAGCCCTTCCACCCTTCTCAGGAGGAACCTGGTGGGCTCAGCTGAGGTGACCCTCACCCTGTGCTTCCTGGTACTGGCTCTCTTTTGGGTACCCATGCTTCCAGAGGCAGGGAGCACAGATGCCAAGGGCAGTACTTTCAGTTCCAGCCTAGCAGGTAGCCCTCAAGCCCACCCTGCTGGCTCCATTTGGATGTAGCCTCTCTTGCTGGTGAAGCTTCTTCTTGTGGCTCTCTCCACTCCTCTAGTTCTTCCCCACACCCCCAACTCTTGCCAGGCTTTACCCTGGCTCCATGCTCACACTCCACTGCAGCCTGTACCTTGCTCGTAGCCACATTCTTTTTCTCCTGTGGGCACCTGCCCTGCTTCTCATGCACTTGGCCTGGCACATGTGTCAGGAGTCCCCTCTCCCCAGATCTTCGTGGGGGTGGCCTCAGCAGTTCCAGGTTCACAGGCCCTTCCTCAAGATGCTGCTCTTCAGCTATGCTCAGGCTCCCTGCACCTGCTGGGTGGAGAATAACATCCACAGGTTGTAGGCCTCACTGGAACATCCATCAATATATACATACTGTTCACACACAGGCTTTTTTGCTAAAGCACTGGCCAGAGAGAGCCTGATCAGCAAACCTGGCTGATGCCTTAACTTGTCATATAGGCAAAACTTGGCATGTGAGCCAGAGAATGGGTGGGGAAGATGGCTGTACAAGGTAGAGAACAGTTCAGTACCAGGATAAGGCCAGAATGGGAACCCCCAAATCAGGATGTGGAGCAAGCCATGGTACAGGATGGATCAAGACAGTCAACATAATGGTGGAATGTAACATGTAATGTGTCTTTTGACCACTGTAGAAAAAGAGAAATAGAAACGAAGGAATCCTTATACTGGCCTAGGGGAGCCTGCGTGGTGCTATGCCAATGTCTTGTCACGGGCATACGTGCATTAACACCTTGCCTGTCAGACCACTAGTGTCTTAGGGCCACACCTTGTAGACAATAAACCTGGCCAAATATCTGCCAGTGAACTGCGCCTGCGATTGTTCTTTAAGTCAAGATTGGTGTTGGGATCTGCTGATGGTGATTTTTTCCTAGCCCTACAGTCCCTGAGACTTCAGGCCCTGCCAAGTGTTCAAATTCAAGCTGGACAGAAACCAGCTATAAAGTTGTTATAAATTTTCAAGCACTAGTTTCATTGCTGGTTGGCTCTTAAAGCTGAATGGACATTTTTATGGCATGACAATTACTTTGCACGTGTAGCCAGTCTAAGTTCATTGCACAATTGACCAGTAAATTGTTTAATATACACAATGCTTGGCAGGGGCCTTTAACACTGACAACACATCAATAACACCTGACAAGGGTCAGCGATGATGACACATTAGCCTTAGTGCCACTGGCAAAGGCAAAGCCCAGCTACTCCCCCATGTTTGTGTGTGCATAAGCTCACCCACAGGCCTCTATGTATAGGGGAAGGGAGAGTTGGAAAAGTCAAGGTCCCACTGGTCTTCTAAGGCCCCTACTACATGTTACATCTATTACTCAATTAACTGGTGAATCACACAACAAATTTAGATCAGCTACATGTGCAAAGTAAGACTGGCCAGAAGAGAAGAAAAACTCTCACACCACAAAATGGTTAATCACGCGATAAATCTGGACCAGCCACACACGCACAGTCATTATTGCCTGATAAAAATGACTACCCAGTTATCAAGAGTGCCAAGCAGCTACAAAGTTAGTGCTTGAAAAATGTCTAACAACGGTATGGCTGGATTCTACCCAGCTTTCATTTGAATGTGTAGCAGGGCCCTTCTGAAAGACCTCCACAGCAATGAAGGAGGGGATGGTCCCCAATGATCTGCCCTTTCTTGTGGGCAACCACAGACATCTCTCCCTGCGAGAGACAACAGGAACCCTGGTTCTGCACTAGAATCCACATTGCAGAGGAGGAGGTGGGAAATAAATAGGGCCACTTGCTCCATGGGCTGTTGGTGGCTTTTAGGGGGATGCCAGGAGAACAGGCAACATGCTGAATTGATCCCTAACAAGACTCTCAAGCCGACTAGACTTTTCCACAGACAAGAGGTGCCTCCTGCTGCTGAGAAAAGGCAGAACCAGCACCTCTTACCTGCCCCCGGGGAAGGGCCTTGTTTGGGGAAGCAGCCCAAAGAGCTTTCATCTGCCAATGAGTCCAAGGTCTCCTCTGTTTTAGGGGAATCTACAATGGGACAGAAGCCTGGGGTTAACTAAATAAAAACGAACCCAAACTCACTAGGAAAACCCATTGCCCGCACACCCACAACAGCCCATTCTTGGGCACAGAGGGCTCATGGTAGGCATGACAGAGGAGTGACTGGGACTCCAGCATCTGTCATAATCACAGCAGCACTCAGTGTCACCACAAAAACTGCCAGCATCCACTTCTGCAAAGTCCTGCATAGACACTGAGCTTGCTAAAGAGCTGCTGGCTGGTTAAAGCTGAGCAAAACCACTGCAAGTTTTGTCCAAATGGAAACACTGTCAAGGACAGCAAGAAGACAATGTGCAGAGAGAGACAGAGAGAGAGAGAGAAGGAGAGAGAGAGGTGTGATAAGGAAAGCCTACCAGTCTGGGAGCATTTGTACAGACAGGGATTTAGAAAAATACTCAAATGTGAAAACTCAGTTAAACAAATAACCTGTAAATGGCCAGTAGCACAGCAATCACCATGAGGAAAATGATGAATATGCAAGTAACAAAAGGCATAAAACTGTTTGGAAACAAAGTGGTGTTGGACTACTAGACTGTTGGTCTACTAGACAATGCCCCTGAATGTCCCAGTGAAACTCTGGGTGTTCTGATCAGTAGGACAGGAAGCAAGACGTGCTGGCAAAGTGACTGGTGTATTTCTAGGTATGGGAGTGAGTGCTGAATAAGCCTACACAAGTGCAGAGAAAACTCCTGCCTCTGCAGCATTCTCTCTCAGTAGCCCACTGGTTCCCCAATTCCAGGTTTCGGGATAACACGAGGAAGATAAAGGGTCTTGCCACTGGGTGCTGCTGTCATGCCAAAGCTCCCGGGGACAGATCCAGGTCCTATCGCCCCACAGACTCACAGCAAAAGACCCCAGGCCCCTCGGGGGCTTAACAGTCAGGCAGGCACTGGCATCTGGGCCCCTCAGTAACCTCTACCCAGGCCCTGGGCACATTACCTGGCTTCTTGTGGGGTAGGAAATACTCTTTAGGGACACAAGGCAGCTCCTTCTTAGGCCCCCGGGTTTCATACTGTCCTGCCTCCTCCAGGGGCATGTGCCCACGATGGGGCTGAAGCCGCTCCGGCAAGGAGCAGAGAGGTTCCCTCAATGCCCAAGGTCCCTCCATGTCCACGGCCACCTCCTCGAGCTGCCTGTGCACTGTGACCTGGGGACGAGACAACCACATAACTGGGAGCCAAGAGAGATGGGGTGGGAAGGAACATCCCTAGACACACTGAGACAAGGAGGCAGTATCAATGACCAGAGTGAAACACTCATCTGGAGTATCTCGTCCTCTGTTAGCCCACCCAAAACCCCTTGGCCAGAGCCACCAGCATGGTGCAAGTCATCATGCCCCCATTCCCAGCTTGGTGCTGCCTGGAGCAGGATAGCCAGGAACTGCCCCAACACTAGCAGCTCCAGCATCTGCTCCTTCCTGCCAGGCAGCACTGGCAGAGCCCCCACAGGTGGCTGCAAACCTCCCCTGGCCTCTGGCCACCTTGCAGCAGATGGCCCAGGCAAAAGGGCTGACCCCAGAGCTATATTTGACAACACAGCCAAATCACAGAAGCACTCACCTGCCAGTGCTGGATGGGCTCCTCCAGCAGCTCCTGCTTGTTCCAATGTGGTGCCGCCCATCTCGGGGATGCTCTGCCTGTCCTAGCTGGGACAGTACGAGGGGCTTTCCTTGCCCTTTCAGTTCTTGCCCTGAGCTCGAGTTCTGCTGAGTCCTGCACCTCCGTCTTCACCAGAGGCTGCAGCAGCACTGGGAAGGGGAGAACTAAGTCTAACACCATCCCCAGCTCAGCAGCCATCTTTGCCTCACCCGAGCCTGGGCCTGAGCTCACTCTCCTGCCCCTCACATGCGGGGCCTGTTGGCAGCGTCCGGGCTCCTGGCTGCCTGTAGGAAGGAGACAATGGGGTTTTATCGTGTGATGGAGGAGCCAGGATCCAAACACACCGCTGTGGATCCACAGCCCCTCAGCCAGCCCAGGTCACCCAGAGACGTTGTAGAATCTCCAGCCTTGGAGGTTTTTAAGGCCCAGCTTGACAAAGGGTCTAGGGAGGGATGATCCCTTCCAGCCCTAATTTTCTATGATGCCTGGCCCTGGTCCCTTGCAGGGAAAAGAGGTTTTAGAAGTATAAATTACCAGAATGTCTATTGTCTATAGCTTAATCTCTCCCCCTCTCAAAATCTCTCTCTCTTTCTATCACTCTTCCTCTCTCTAAACATCTCTCTCTGCATCCCTGACTCTCTCTGTCTCATACACACGCAATCTCTCTTTCTCTCAGTCTCCCCCTATCTCCATCTATAACCCATGTCTACAGGTTACCCAAGGGTAATCCCCCCACAAAAAACATGCACGCACATCTGGGGTAAATTTCACACACAGACATGTACACACACACACACACACTTCTCTCCCTCTTGACATACAAGTTGCCTGTGGGTAATTTCCCCCCAAAACACATGTACACCCCCCATATATATCTGGGGTAAATTTCACACACACTCTCACTCTCTGTCTCTCTCATATACACAGCAATTATTTAAGGGTAACCCCCCCAAAACACACACACACACATATATGTGCACACATATATGCAAGGAAAATGGCGCACATGCACGCACACGTTCCAGACACGCATGCGCACACGCGCCCCTCTCTCTGACACAGACACAAGTTATCTAAGGAAGCGGGTCTCAGCCTTCTTTCCTGTGCAGACCCCTAAAAAACGTTGAACGGAGACGCGGCGGACCCTTCTGAACTGAAAGCCTGGGCGTCCACATACTTCTGACTGATCAGTCACCTTTTGCGGACCCCGTAGACATAACGTGGCGATCCCCAGGGGTCCACAGACCACAGGTTGAAAACCACTGAATGACAGGTCACCCCCCCCCCCCAAACACACATCTGGGATAAAAGTCACATGCGCACACACTCCAAACACATGTGCACATAGATATGGGCACTACACACACACTGCCCAAGGGTAGTCTCCCCAGAGCGCGCACACACACCAGGCACACTACCTAAGGGTAATCCTCCGCCCTCCCTACACACACACACACACACACACTTACTTGTACGAGGGGTACATTTTGTGCATGTGCACACAGACTCCTCTCTTGCACCCCCACCCCCGGCACACACGTTACCTAAGGGCACCCCCCAACACACGCCCCC